TTATACGCTTTGGGTAGTAATTCATGTTTTTTTTTTTGGGGGGGGGGGGGGGGGGGGGGTTATAGTATTATTTTCCAGGACAAGGAGAAAACTCTTTACATGAAAGGCATATTAAAAATAGCTAAATAAATATATAAATAAGTGAATGAATAAATAAATAAACAAACGAAAAAACTATAAAAGCAGCTTTCAGAGGCATTTTCAATGTGAACATAATATAACAAAAAGGAAAGAGTTCAGAAGAAAAAATCTATTACTTTAAATATAAATAAATCATGTGCTAGAAGGAAACACCCATGATATTAAATGTTTCAGTAGGCTACACAGTGGAAAAAGGCATAACAAACTTACCTCTGAATGTAAAACATGAGACGTTTTAGTTATATCCCATAACTTTTCTCACATATGTTTTAATCTGAAATAGTTCAAGAACACAGTATGATGTACTTAAGGGACAGTTTTTATGCCAAGCTGTTTTAGTTTTTAATGTTCCAGTGCTACTCATCGTTATGGCATTTTTACTGGTAATAATTAAATTACAGAGCTCTTCAATTCAGTTTTTACTAGTAACAATTAGGCCCTATGATTAGAGAGCTCTCTAATTCAATTGTAGAGCTCTGCAATTGCATTTTTACTATTAGCAATGGACTCTATGCTTGGTCGCTTCTGCATTTAGTCTGAGCTGGTGTGTTCACACCGAACGCGAATAGAGCGTCAAATACGCGTCTAGTTAGACGCTTGAACATTCGCTCGAGTTCAAATTTTTCAACTTGCGCGGAAGACATTCGCGGCAAACGCGTCGCCCAATTCGCGTCATTCGCTACGCCCGGCGCGAATGATGCGTCTATTCGCGTATTCGCGTCAGTGGTACTGGTGGATTTCCGCGGGAGATTCGATGTCTTTGCGTCATTATTACGTCACATCTGTACACACAAAGAAGGAAGGCTTGTTTGAGATTCGCAAAATCTGTGCAGAACCGATCACCGGTGATCACTGCGACTGCGAGATGCATGCCGGTTAGAAATGTGTCCGAGTGCTGTCCGGCTTGCTCTGGTGTCATGCTGATGTATGTCAAAAAACTCTCGCGACCGCAAGGCGCACGTGTCGGATTCTGCAGTCGCGCGCAGTTGCTCTCCACTGACTGCGCCGATCAAAAGCATGATGGGAAACGACTTACTGACGACACAGTCGTCAGTGAATGCTCATTGGTTTAAACAACTGTGATGTATTGTTCTCTTTTAAAATGTTTGATTTTAAAACTCTGATATCATGTTTTATGTGTATAAATTATGTGTGGATATTCCCAAACTCTCTGACAGTACGATCTTTGTATGGGTTATGAATGTGATGTATTTTTTATCTTTTTTTTTTTTTATCAAAAAACACATGTCTGTATCAAAGAAAAAATTATTGGTTAACACTTAGGCCTATTTAAAATGGAATTAAATAAGTACTTTGGGTGTCTTGTTCATTATATTTATTTTCATATAAAAGCAACAGAACTTAAATTACATCCAGTTTATTAGCAACACCGTGCACGGGCATGAATCCTGTGAATCCCGCGATATCAGTCTTTGATCTCACAGGTGTCTGATCCACTGCGAGAAGAGAGATCTGTCCGTCTTGCCTACACTTTTTTCACTCCTCCTCTCACTGCAGCCGCCTACTCTCGCATACATTTCAGGCGAGGCAAGGCACATCTCAAACAAGCCTGGAGTCTCGGCTAGTAGGCAATATTGCGAGTGAGGATGTTGGAGGTGGAGATTTATAGCCTTCTCACAGCACTTGATATAATTAAACTTATCAATTTGATGGCGGATCAAGAAAGGGTCAAACGATAATCACCAGTGACAACTGAAGATTCACCCGTTGTAAAATGCAAAAAACTTTGTTCGGACTTCGGAGTGGCTACAGAAAAAAAGAGACTGCAACTGATCCTATGCCAAAACAAGGATAAATATCGGAAGGACATTAAATGCAGTCACGCAATGCTGACGTTGTTAACATTAACAATTTGCGAACAATTAAAGTATAATTTGCACGGTTTTACGTGAAATGATTAGCGATTGTTAGATTTAATCAGCGCGATTTACTGCAATGTCAGAACCAAAACAAAAGTGGATGTTACTTTCTTGTTCACATGACATTTTTGGGTGAAAATTATTATGTTGGTCATACTTCCAAAAAGAATAATGTGATTCTGAATGCCAGTATCCACACCGGCGCGGTGACTGACAGCCTCACACTCTCCTCAAACATTGTGTTCATCCGCGCTGTGCCGTGTTGAGGTACAACTCACGTAAAGTTAATAATTCCACGAATAACTGCAATTGCAGATTTCGAACAGAGATGGCGACAAAGAGGAAAAACTGCGGACTGCAGCTTTATTTAAAGTAACACAATAGTTACTTTCCCTGGTAATTAGTTACTTGTGTAATGATGTAACTCAGTTACAAACTTAGTTACTATTTGTGAGAAGTACCTAGTTAATATAACTAATTACTTTTTTAAAGTAACATGCCCAACACTGATGATTCTGTATGACTATGAATGTCATTAATTTTGTGCATTTACATTTTCTAATAAGGGTCAGGTGACAGGAGAGATCGGCGTGAGGGCGAGTCAGAGAAGCCACATGAGAGTAGGCAGACAACACTTGAAAATGGAGGGATGAATTTATTGTTCATATTTTAAAATTAAGTTTCTATGAATTTTATAGAAATGCAGACATGACAAGTCTATTCAGGAGAAAAGTTTAGCTCTTTTAAAAGGAAAGACAGTCATCTTATCTTGTTTATGCATATATCCTAACATTTGCGGTCCTTCATTTATTATTATTCTCTAATTGAAATAGTAAAAATGCAATTATGACGAGTAATGCTGGGAACATTAACCCTTTAAGTGTCACCCCCCTTTTTTTGAATATACATGAAAATGCACATTTCGAACTTAAATGGTTGTAATTCAAGAATGCTTTGGAATATAGACGTAAGATTGGTCTTGTTTTAAAGAAGACATTTGGCAGATTCTTGTAGAAGTGAAATAAATTAAGAAAGTGAAATAGAAAAAAAGTTATAGAAGTTTGAGTTTATGAAAATGTACAATGTAAAAAATTTAATTATTCATATTTTATATAAAATATATATTTTCAAAACCTGGGCGACTCTAAAACTGCAAAAAAAATCAAAGCCAAAAATCTGAACAAGTTGTGTTTCAAATTTTAGGTTGATATCTCAAAAAATGAGCTTTCAGTAAGATTTTGTTTGGGCGCAGTACCAAACTTTTTCACTAGATGACAACCAGACTCCATTACTGCCCATATAAGGGCGCCTCCATTTCCATATGTGTTTTGAATGATATGAACCATTATTTCCACAATTTTCATACAATTTATGAAGTAGACATCCTATTCAGAAGTAATATGAGAAGTTTGGCAGATTTTGATATGATTTCAACCTCTAAGAAACATAAAAAGAACACGCATGTGCGTTTTAGCTTCCTGCCACATCATATAATTTTTTTCTTTATATAAAAAAAAAAATTCAGACCTTTTTTTTTAAATAATTGAATGGATGCTATCTTTTGAACTCTTGGAATGAAAACAAACTGAGGTTTCTACCCTTCTTTCATGATTTTTCATGTTCATCACTATTTCAAAATAAAGGTCTAAGAGTATGAAAATATTATTGTTGCAAATTGATAAATTACGGCTCCTCTGTAATTTATTTTGAAAATCAATCACCACATATGGAAACTAGAGATTGTAAGCTTTCAAATGATATATAGTTTGTCAAGATTAGTTTAGGTTTAGTATAGGATATTACTGTTTTAAAAATGTAAAGGATTTGGGCCCACCGGTGGGCCCGTGACACTTAAGGGGTTAAAAGCTAAAATGGCTTGCCATATAGTTCAGCAAAATGAAAATCCTGTCACCATTTAATCATCTTTATGTTAATCCAATCCAATTTGCTATTCTTTCTTCTGCTGAACACAGAAAGAAAAGTTAGGAAGAATTAGGTAGCATACTGACACAGCATTTGTCTCCTTTCGCTCTCACTTGGTGACTGCTTTACATTGTTTTTTGTTCCACAAGAATAAAAATAAGTCATACAGTTTTGACAACAACACGGGAGAGTAAATGATTACACAATTTCTCACTTTAGGGTGAACTGCCCCTTTAAAACAATGAACGCATTGAAACTTTCATAACGGGATACAAAGTAGCCTATCCATTGCAAAATCCTGTCACATTTGAACTTGTTATTACAAAACCGCAAATTGTGACTACTACATTATGTATAATATTTCGTTAAAATAAACTACTATACCCATAAATCTCTCTGTAATTTTGCATAATAGCCTAATCTCTCCTCACTAGCACTTTCTATGATGTTAGGGGGCGTGCGCCTTTTCAGCAAATTATCAACGCATCCAACGCTGATTGGGCAACATTATCCACGTGACGCACACCATCCAATCGGCGGCTATAACGATGAATACATTTCCATCTTTCTAAAGGTAAATTCTGAAAAATGATGACGTGAAACGATGAAGTCTTGCTGTGTTGTCACCATCTGTTTGCACAGGAACAAAGTGCTTCAAAGCAAACATAATGAAATAAACAGACGTGTCAAGTTTCGTGTGCGCGAAACACCAAGGCTACATTGCACAAACGCTCCAGACAGGAAGATATCCTGATAACGTTTACGAAACGAGGAAAATAACGCTGTTATTCGCAGGATTTATTGTGAAGTTCGTGATTCGTGAAGACTCTTGCGCAATATTGTACTGTAAGTGAACAATGCTTTGTCCTAATTGTAATTTTAAATAACAACAATAATTTAACAGTATGAGAAGTTGCTGCACACTCTTGATGGTGATTCTTACATTTTGTTTTATGACTTCTTGTAGTTTATGCGTCTAAATTTCAGTGAACTAAATGTAATTCTAAACACACATGTGCATTTACACTTGCTTCTTGTCTGTGACAGTAAGTCCCTCTTCTGCGCGAGGATGAATGTGGGCACGGCGCACAGTGAGGTGAATCCAAACACGCGAGTGATGAACAGCAGGGGTATATGGCTGTCATATGTGCTTGGCATCGGCCTCCTACACATCATATTGCTTAGCATACCCTTCGTCAGCGTGCCTGTGGTCTGGACCCTCACCAACCTCATCCACAACATGGTAAGAATGACATGTGCACAGTCTCCCCTGATAGCACACGTACATCACTGAGACGTCTTTTTGATGTGCTTGTTTACATCTGGAAGACGTATTATTTAGAGTGTTTGCTCATCTGCAATACGTCTATGACGTTTCCTGTTAGATGTCAAATAGACGTTTTGAAGATGTCTTTAAAATGTAATGATTTAGAGTACGTTAAACTGTCATCTTAAAGATGTCTATCAGATGTTAGTAAACAGCAGATGCTTTCCAGATGAAGTGATCTTTAACCGACATCTTGCAGACGTACGTGTGCTAGAAAGTTCATCTGCTGGTGTTACCTAGAGCACTGCAATAAGAGTTTAGGTCTGGTTGATTTGCTAAGTCAAGTGGTGATCCAACACAGTACCAAAATTGACAAAATAATACTGAAATGTCTTTAATAGGCTATACCATGCGTGACGTCATAGACAACTTCATAGGCTCAACAATATGCTAAATTATTCACATGACATATTGACTGAAGAGAACATTTTCATAGATTTATGCTTTTGGCACGCAATTAATGGCACAGAACAAATTGTACTCAAACTGTGTTTATCCTCACTGCAAGCGAACCTATTTTATATAGTTTTATATACTATTTTATATACTTTTATTTAGTATTAATATAGTCTACGTTGTCTTAAGGATGCAACCTGTCAAATTACAGATGCCGACATAGACAGGTGTCAAAATGACATTTGAATTTGTGATGTGTATTTCCAATAAAAGACATGGAAAGCATTTCCCCCCTCCTATTTACAAATTGATTTTACATTCTGTTGTGCTATCCTAAAGGCCCGTATATACTGTTCGCCACAACTATAAAGTTTAATAATAGCTCTAATTCTATGAGAATAGGGAAATCCACACCACAGCTATACCAATAATGATTTCCTGAATAATCATTGACAGCCACTTCGGATCGATCCAACTTTAAAGAGCTCAAGCATTTAAAGTGGCAGATGACCTTACTAAATCATAAATAGAACCTTATCATGTGTTGATGTGGGCGCTAATTTAGTTATTGTTATAGTTATCTTTATTCTTATCGTTCTTGGCCTTAGCTACACTTCTATAGTTAGTAGCACTGAAATGTCCTGCTCTCTGTGACCCATAACTGATCTGCAAACTATTTTAGGTCACAAACCAGCAATTGAGAACCATTGCATTAGTTTCATAGAGTAAATGTAACACAGATGCTTTTTTAAGAAGCAGAGGTTTGAAATAATCATTTGTTTTGTGACAGCCCCCAGCTGCAGGATCTCTGAAATGCCAACATTTTTTTTTTCTTGCTGAATTTTGGCCCGTTAAGTTGCTGACTCCAGGTTCTGTAATTTCAGCCAATGGCGGACTTACAGAGCCATCCTGTATCGCCTTTCTTAGTCATCCTGCTACCAAAACAGATCAGCTCTTGCTGTTGTCCTAAGAGTTGCACAACATCTGCTGATAGAGCTTTAAAGAATTATACCAAAGGTCATGATGTTCTGTGACTGTCTTTCTGTTGTAGTGCATGTATATCTTCCTACACACGGTTAAAGGAACGCCGTTTGAGACTCCGGACCAAGGCAAGGCCCGGCTACTGACCCACTGGGAACAGATGGACTACGGGGTCCAGTTCACCGCCTCTCGAAAGTTTCTCACCATCACCCCTATTATACTGTAAGAGTGTTTGCTTTCACTCAGTGCTGTTAGGAGCTTCATTCTGTTCGTCACACCAATTTGTTCTGCACACGCACTGTCAAGGCTTTCACAGCTTGCACTGCATGGCCATGAGCAAGAGGCAGTGATGCTGACTTCCTGTGGTGTCTGCTGGCAAGGAGAGCTGGATTTAGAAACATTTAGTCAGTCAGTCAGGTCATTTGCTCTACTGTTCTTCTCCTCTCCAATTTCAAGGGTTTATATGTTGGCTACAGTGAGGGATAAGGTGGTTGCTAGCCCCTAGCCTTAGCTGTTTAGGTTAGTCTCCCTGTCTGACCAGCAGAAAAGCACTTACAACTCTTCTAAAAGCAGTCAACAGTGCAGCTTCACCAGTCTGAGAGAGCAGCTAAGATCAGCAAACTAGGTTTAAGATATTGTTTTTAGCAGGGTTGGTTATATCCTGTGGGAATTTAATGGTGAAAAGTGGATGTTACATAGTAGCAGTGTTATTTTAGTATTTTTATAATATTATTATAGTATTTATTGATATTTTTAATTGGCTTTTTTAAAAATTAATAGTAGCTTTTTAAATATTTCTATTTAGCCTCAATTTATTTTTATTTTAGTTTTAGTAACTTCAGCTTATTTCAGTTATTATATTTTATTATATTATTAATTTAGTGCTGTCAATCAATTTAAAAAAAATGAATCACACATTTTTCTGTAATTAAAATGCGATTAATCACACCTAACATTAAAGTTTTTAATATATTTCTATTTTGTAATACTTTCACATTGAATCTCCAAAATAATTTAGAAACAACATAAATGGCATCTTTTTACCAAGCACTATGAATGAAGGGCAGTATCACTGATACCAGTACTGATACTGATGTCTCTATTAAATGGATTTTTAAATGGAATTTTAAATGGAATTTTAGCTATTAATTATAGCCCTTCAACATAACAATATGATTGAAATCTATCAAATTGAACATTAATAGGCTTTAAAAAATGTAACAATTTTACATTTACGTGAACTTAAAAAAATAATCTTCACATTAACCCATTGTAATAAATGTCACATTTAGCAGTGCCTTTTAATATATCATGTTTTAAAGCTACGGTTTTAAAATGCACAAAAAAAAGTTGGTAACACTTTACAATAAGGTTAATTTATTAAACATTAGTTAATATATTAACTAACATGAACTAACCATGAGCAATACATTTGTTACAGTATTTGTTAATATTTGTTTACGTTAGTTAAAACAAATCCAGCTGTTCATTGTTTGTTCATGTTAGTTCACACAGTGCATTAACTAATGTTAACAAGATTTTAATAACGTATTAGTAAATGTTGAAATTAACATTAACAAAGATTATCAAATGCTGAAGAAGTATTGTTCATTCTTAGTTCATGTTAACTAATGTAGTTAACTAATGAACCTTATTGTAAAGTGTAACCAAAAATTTATTGTTTCATTGTTTTCAAGCACTGTGCAGTCTTCACTGTATAAATTATAAATTGAATAAAGATTAATACTCATTAAAGCTACAAAAGTGATTCAGTCAAGAGCAGTGAGTGATTGTTTGTTCTTTGATTAACATTAATGACAGACAGCAGCAGGTTTATTAGGCTGCGTTATTAAGACGCGTTTTGACTCGTTTTAATGCGTTTTGACAGCTCTAATGATTAAATTATATTATATTATATTATAAACTGTTTTTATCTTTAGGGTAACACGCACTATTGTTTAGAATACTACTATTCATTAATAAGGTAAATATGTCTGTTTTGAATTTGATTTTAAATCATCTTTTTGTAACATTGTTTCAGCATGAAGAAACCACATCCTGGCTTCCCATTAGACGCCATGTTGTGCTGTGCTTGCTTGAGCAACTTCTGTAGCCTCTGCATCTGTGCATCTCATGTTGCTGTCTGACATCTGACTTGATCTTGTCCTTGTCCTTCCCCTCTACAGGTATTTCCTGACCAGTTTCTATACAAAATATGACAGGGTCCACTTCATCATCAACACCATTTCCCTGCTCACCGTGCTTGTCCCCAAACTTCCTCAGTTCCACGGGGTCCGTCTCTTCGGAATTAATAAGTACTGATGCGGTTTTGATCTTCAACACAAGAGGATGTGTTGACACACAGGGCGCTTCATGACTTACTCTGTGGAAATAAATAAAAAAGGGAGAAATATAGGGCTTCTTCGGATGCTCTGCTGCTTTGCGGTCAAACTGGCCGAATAATCTGCTACGGCATCACTTTTATTGATGTTTTTTCTATAACATTTGTTAGATACAAACACATTTGTAGAACCACCTGCAGAATTCAGCAGATGAGGGTCTCTGGAGATGTTAGGACCTCCGTTCTACTTTGTTGAAACGGACAGTGTTGTTTAACAGCATTATGTACGTCATGTGGAGCAACATGTTAGCTTTTTCACTTTGGCAGAAATGCTGCGTTGATGCAATGAATCTGATGGGTCAAAATTATCTGTTTCATCATGTCTTCTTAACTGTTTTGCTGGCCTGAGTCAGCATGTCCCAATGTTTAGCACTGGGAAAAGAGAAGAAAGGTACTCTGTTTCTGAATAAAGAGTAGAAGGCTATTTTTAGCCCATGTGCAAAAGACTGGCTTCAATCCCATAGTTGGACTTTGTCACCCTGTCCTGAGAAAACTTCTGCCAGCCCTTTATTTCAAACCTTAAAACATGTTTTTAGATTTAAAACAGAACTAGTTGAATTTTAAATACAGTATGATTAACATATTTTAAACAGATGTTGGTTGCAGTGATATATCTAGTGTGTAACCAGAACCCTAAAACCTTTCACTCTTTTATAACATGCACTTAATATTGAGTAATAAAATGAGTTAGCTGGATGCATGGGAATTAAAAACCTCTAAGAGCTCTGGATGGGGAGCACCGGTACAGGGAATATTGGATTGGATCCTTTTTTCGCCAAGAGAGAAACTGCAGTTGACCTTTGGATCATAATCTGTGTACAGCTCCTGCGCTTCACGTCCCAGTGTGAGTCAGGATAACTTACATGGTAATGCAGTTTACTAAAGTACAGAATATTTCTGTGAAGCATCCACAAAAAATGTAAGATGTTTAAGTGCTTACCATTGGTTATGGCCAATCACCATGTTCTCTTTTACCATGTTATCATTATGCTGTTTCACGAAGGCAAAATGCAGTGGCTACACTGAAACAGAAAATTAGCTTTTTTATTGCATTTTGATTAACAATTTAAGCAAACACGAGTGCAAACCCATCTGCCACAATACAGATAATGGTCTTGATAAACTACATTCTGCATTTTGCGAACAACAGTATGGACCGGTGGACTGATGAGACAGGCCCTGTGATATGCATTTTGCATGACATCATTTCTAATAATTTATAATTGTCTTTTTTGTAACAAAAAGTTGAACTGGAATGATGTATGGTCTGTGACTAACCTCACAGACGTATTCCTGGTACTTACTGAGCAAGATTCTGAAAAGGTTGCTTTGAAAATGACATTGCTTGCCTTTATAGTCTCATACAGCATTTCATAATTTGTCATGTTTAGTAGCAATTTGTTATAATGGTGTCATGCTCTCTGTGATTTTTGTTTTATTGCTGCCTTTTCGATGTTATGGATTACAGTCAGAACAATTGTGTTAACAGTAATCCTGCATACGTGGAGCAACACCTTATCTAGCAAATCAGTTGACCTTGAATCCCATACTTGTTCTTATCACAGTTTGCTTTTGTTTGTACTTCATATTCTGTGTTATACATTTCATGACAGATGCTTGCTTAATGTTGACATGATCAGTATTTGCAATAATACTTACTATTATTACAATGATAGAAACTGTATTATTTGCCCTCTCACATTAACGTAAAGTCATTTGCAATCAGCCTTACTGCAGAGTTGATTACTTCATACTTGATTTGTTGACAGTATACCTTTTGCATTCTTGTTTATTTGCTTAATACAATTGGAGATTAACATTGTGATGGATGATTAGAGTTCATTTGTTCATCAACTGGGCTTCAGTTCTCATTATTTGCAGATGGTTTGAGACTCATTTGACTGGCTGCATCAATATAGCTAAAGGGATGTTCCCTGAAATGTGATTTCATCACATACTGTATTAGTACATTTACACAGCTATTTTACCTTTATGATTGTAAATACCCAAGCTATGAATCTTAATGATTTGGGAACTGTAACAACAGGAACTCTTGTGAAGTTGGTCTGTTGTGACATGGCAATCTGAGGTGTTGTGTTGTGTGTACCGTGGTTAGCTGGCAGGATGCCGAGTCATATCAGAGCCTTTCTTTCTTGTATAGTGAAGTACAATGCTTTTTTTTTTTAGGAGCAACAGAGCGTCTCGGACAAATAGTCAGTTTTAGTACATTTTTGCCATGTATACCCAACAGTTTCTCCTGTTTACATTCACACAGTGATTGTGATTGCAAAGCAACTCCCATAGCAATTTACTACAGTAACTGCATGACGTGATGCTGTGCCAGGTTTAACAGCAGGAAAACATCTTATCTTGTGACTGATAAAGCCTATTCATCAGTTAGTGAACTCTACCTGACATTTTACAATGTGTCAGATGAATAAGACATTAAGACATTCAAATGGACAGATCACGCAAAAATAGAAATGATTTCATCATTTATTCACCCTCATGTCATTCCAAAGTGGAGTTTCTTCCTTATGCAGAACATAAGATGATTTCAACTTTTTTTGCCCATACAATGAAAGTCGATGAGGTTCCAGCAACATTGGACCCCATTGGCTTTTATATGAAAAAATATATAATTCAAAATATCTTCTTTTGTGTTCAACAGGTGTGGAAAGTAAATGGTGACAGAATTTTAATTTTTGGGTTAATTGTCCCCCTATTAAATTAGAAAACTGACATTTCTAAGGTGATTTCCTCTAGTTTAACAAATAAAAAATATATATATTTGAAGACAGAGACACTATAAAGAAAGCAACACACCAGTATTTCAGCGTGCAACGTGAGCCAGGGCCGTGCTCTTTGGGCTGTTACCGAAAGCCAGCAACTTTTGAAACTTTGACTGGGTGAGAGTCCATCTGAATGGGCGAGAGTGAAGCCTCATGTGTCAGTTTCAGTTCTCCATTACTAACTCCAGCCTGTCAACATGTCTCTCCCCTCAGTGAGCAGATCCATTCCAAACGTGAGGCATTTCCTTCCTTCTTCACTCACATGCATGGTCTTTTTCACTATCATCATTTTTTTTATGATACTATTAAAACTGAATGGTTGTGTAGATGGAGTATGGAGCAGTTGTTGATTTTATGTTGGATCATGCCAACTTGGATACTGAGAGCAGGTGTATGTGTAATTACAAGTGATGGTCTTTACATATTACAGTTTTTCTCAAATGCTAAAACACATTTCACAAACGTTTCCTCCATGTTCCCCAATGTCTAAACACAACACCCTTTTCTAAAGCTACATAAACACAACCACACCTTCTCCCTTCAAAACTCAAACTTTCACACCAAAAGAGCAGCTCAAAGCTTTCAAAAATGTAAACACTATACACATCATTACACACTACAGCAAAACAATTGAAAACACAATGCTCAATTTGTGAGAAGGTTCTTTGTTTCATAACTGCCAATGCATATTTTTAGAAACTTTACAGTAATGGATCTTCTTAGATCTCTGCAGAGGATTAGGCATTTAGATTTGTGAGTTTCATTTGAAGAGTATAAATCTATAGTAAATTCTGCATGTACACTACTGTAACACAACTCAATGCAAAAACTATAAATCTATTGCACACAACAGTACTCTTGAAAACATGATCAGGGTGTGAAGTTTTTTTTAATTTACTTTATTCACACCACACACACACCACAATCATGTCGCTGAGCTGCATCGGGCCACATCACCTCATCCACATCGCAGGCTATATTGTCTCTTGCCAGGCACTGCGGGAAAAACGCCCTGGAATGGCGAATCCATCCTTGGAAGGCCTCCACTGGGATGTCAACACAGGCCAGCTCCATTGCCCTTAGGAGGTTCTCTCTAGTGTATGGTTGTCTGTCATAAACCTTCCATCTCCACGATGAGAAGAACTCCTCTATAGGGTTCAGGAAAGGGGAGTAGGGTGGCAGACAGACGTTTAAAAAGTGGTTACTGTTGGTGGTGAACCACTCTCTGATTTGGTTTGTTCTGTGGAAGCGTACATTGTCCCAAATGATCACATAAATGTGATGTGCGGGATGGTGTTGTTGGCGGTCCAGGAGGATGTCTTTTAGCTCCTCTAGGAAGGTGAGGAGACGTTGGGTGTTGTAAGACACTAGGACAGCATGGCGGTGGACAAGCCCCTCCAAACCCATGGCCGCACAAAGAGTAATATTACCCCCCCGTTGGCCAGGAACCTCAGTGATGGCTCTTTGGCCAATGATGTTACGGCCTCTTTGCCTTCGTTTCTGCAGGTTGAAGCCAGCCTCATCGAGGAAGAGGTACTCATGAGGTCTGGCCATCGCGTCCAACTGTAATATCCTCTGTGAAAATGTGAAAGTGCACAGGTGTTCAGAACAACAGTCAATCAGGTAGCACAGTATTGTCCAGAAGTAATGTAGGCCACTGAGCAACACAGTATGTCCACTAACTGTACTGTGAACATGGATGTATACTTACTTGCACATGTTCGTAACGTAGGTCTTTGTGTCGCGCAGAGTTGCGCTCAAAGGGAACCCTATAGACCTGTTTCATCCGCATCTTTTGGCGCCGGAGAACTCGGTCTATTGTGGCCAAGCTGACATTATCAATGCTCTCAAAGTTGACATTATTGGCAATGACTTTGTCTCTGATCTCCTGGTGTCTGATGAGGTTGTTCTCACGAACCATATCCACAATGAGGGTTTCTTGTGCCGCTGTAAATATGGCAACCCTCCCACCTCTATGTGACATTCTTTCAACTCTAAAGAAAGAAACGTGTTGTCAATTGACATGTTTTACAATACAGTAACAACTGATCTGAAACCAATAGACTACTTTCACAGGCTTGTAAAATTGTATTGTGACAAAGAAAGCAATAGAGTACAATAATTGTTGTGTTTTTCTGAATGCCCTGATAATGGTGGCCACGGTGAACCTACTCAGGTTTGGACAGACTCTTAGTCCTGCTTCAGCCATTGTCATGCCATGGACAATGACTGTTCCTCGCATATCGTCCGTAATGATGGTGCGAGGTTGTCTTGCTCTCCCTCCTGGACCTTCTCCTCTCCCTTGTTGGCCTCCTCCTCTCCCTTGTTGGCCTCCTCCTCGCCCTTGTTGGCCTCCTCCTCTCCCTTGTTGGCCTCCTCCTCTCCCTTGTTGGCCTCCTCCTCGCCCTTGTTGGCCTCCTCCTCGCCCTTGTTGGCCACCTCCTCGCCCTTGTTGGCCACCTCCTCGCCCTTGTTGGCCCCCTCCTCGCCCTTGTTGGCCTCCTCCTCGCCCTTGTTGGCCTCCTCCTCGCCCTTGTTGGCCTGCTCCTCTCCCTTGTTGGCCTCCTCCTCGCCCTTGTTGGCCTCCTCCTCGCCCTT